TACTGGGGCTACCTTTCCTTCAGAGTAAATAAGGCAGGCAGAGAGAGGGATCATGATGCATGGTCTCTACATTATTGTCCAGGCTTTGTGTTATGGAGATGAGAAACTTCATCCATAGCCTAAAATTATCTTGGGGAAAAAGTTGAGAGTCAGCAGCTACGGATTATAAGTCCTTGTCAGTGGCGTGAACGAGGGTGCCGTGGGTTGCCTTTGATAGTGACAGACACTTGCGAATGTCACTGTCACACTTGCCATTGCCACATGTTGTGATTCTTATGCCTCCTTGTAGCACAATGTAACAATATCATCTCAAAAGACAGAAGGTGCCAACGACTGCAGACTCAATCACCTGTAGTTGAACTGAACCCAGTATCTTGGAATTACATAACTGCATTCACAACCCTGTATTCTACTTCTTTTTCTTCTTCTTTGCATCTTGGATCTTCTTCTTCTTCTTTGCATTCACCAGCTGTAAACTCTGGTGGAAAGTTCTAGTTGTTCGTCCACTTCTGGACTGCAGTCCTGTTCCAGAACCTGAGTGTTGCGTGGGCATCCGTTTGACAGATCTGACACATTTGTGTGCAGACTGTTGGTTCCTGGCCTCTCAGGCAGATGCACTCCGACTTTGAAGAAAGCTCTTAATTAGTAGACTCTTACGACATGCTTTTGGGTAGGCAGTGGGTCTATTCTTGTTTTACCTATAACAGGGCCCCGGAACCCACATGACTTTCCTTGAAGTCGGAGTGCATCTTCCTGAGAGGCAAGGAACCAGCAGTCTGCATACAAATGAGTCAGATCTGTAAAATGGATGCACACGCAACACTCAGGTTCTGGAACAGGACTGCAGTCCAGAAGTGGATGTTTAAAGCTGGTGAACGCGAAGAAGAAGAAGAAAAACTTATGCTCACACATTCATTTTACCGATGTGGCTTTTTTGCAAAAAGCCTGTTGGTCTCACCTCTCAGGCAGATGTACTCCAACTTCCAAGGAAACACCCCTAATTAGATTACTTTTATGACATGCTTGTTGGGGGGGACTGTCAATTTCTTCCCAAAATGTGACCCCGGAGTTCACATGGGGACAATCCTGAATTCAGATGCAGCCTAGATAAATCAAGCAGAATTCTTACCCTGACTGACAATCTTGTCGACGCTTGTGTTGACCTCATGAGCCATGAACCCAAGGACGGAAAATATAACAAACCCTGCAAAAAAGCTGGTGCCACAGTTGATCAGTGGAACCAACATGGCGTCTCTGTTGGAAGAGAGGTGTTGTACAAAAAACTGTTTAATGTGTCTTTTAACACAGACTGACTGAAAGGTAACTCCCTATTTAATGTATGACAACGTAATCTGTAAATTTAATTAATTTGTATCCGTGTTTCAGACTGATTATTTTGTTTTGGAAGAACCACAACAGTAAATATAGGTAAGTTATGATTTCCATTCCATAAGAGTTCCTGCTGACATTAGTTGACTCGATTCTTGGCTGGCTGTAGAAGTTGGCAGTGAAACTTATATCGCATTTTAAACAGAAGCACATGCTAAAAACTTTCCTCTCATATCCATCTTTTATTTAAAAAATTATAGTTAATAAATAACATATAATTATTATAAAACAGAGAATTTATTTTCAATTACATGGTCATATTAGCGAATTCTCAAACTGTTAAAAGGATTATTTGTATTAATACAGTGTTTTCCTCATTCTGGGTTAGCCTTTAGAAGGGTAGATAGGTCACTTTATTGTCATTTACAGCTAGGCTGTGACATGTGTCTTCTGGCCCAAGACTTTCAGCAATTCCTTAATTAGTTGCCTTTTACAAAATTCTTATTAAAGGATAGTGAGTCAACATACCTCTACCCCCCAAAATTGAGGCATCCAAACACACAAGTAAGTACTTAGGGAGTTTTAACTAAAAAATGTATATGAAAATGCTTGCAATTTATTGGACAGTGAAAGTGAGTAATTCTGATTAATCCCATAAAGTTCTGAAGACTGTCTTAGTGCTTATCTTTTGATGCGGCTGGTTAAACTCTAGAACTGTAATGGTCAGAATCAATAATTTTTGTCCCTACTGCTGGGCCTTAAACCTGGGCCCCTGTCTTAGGAGGCTATGCCCCTTTACCCTTGTCTTGGCACGCTGTACTCCTATATCAAGGCTATTCAACTGGTGGCCCGCAAACTACATCCGGCCCCCGCAGAGGCCTAGCAAGTGGCCCGTAAATCGTTGCCAGTTGTATTAATATTTCTAAACTGGAGTTGCGGCATTTGGCCCGTGACGATCCAAATGTTAAGAATTGTGGCCCCTGCTTCAACCTAATTGAATAGTGATGACTTGAAGTAAAGCATGATGAAACACACTTACTGCTAAGTCGTGATAGCAGACATTATAACCAACTTCTCATGGGAACAGTCAGAGCAGGCTATTCAACTGGCAGCCGGCGGGCTGATTTGGCCCACAGAGGCCTAGAAAGTGGCAGGCAGATTATTGCCAGTTGGTGCAGTAATGATCCTTCTATCCTGGGGCTTGGGCTTCTGGCCCGTGATAATCCCCATTAAAAAAGTTTTGGCCCCTAGGTAAACTTAGTTGAACAGCCTACACACCTGTCTTGGCAGGCTATGCTCCTATACCCCTGTTTTGGCTGGCTATGACCCTATACCCCTGTCTTGGCTGGCTATGCTCCTATACCCCTGTCTTGACAGGCTATGACCCTATACCCCTGTCTTGACAGGCTATGACCCTATACCCCTGTCTTGGCAGGCTATGACCCCATACCCCTGTCTTGGCTGGCTAAAACCCTAAACCCCAGCAACTCCCTGTAGAGCACAGAAGCATACAATGCACTTAGACTGTACACCAATCTTACCGATAAACGTTGTTGTTGAACTTGTTGTAGGATGCCATTGTGATGATCCCACCCCATGCCATGCCAACAGAGTAGAAAATTTGGAGAGCTGCATCGCCCCATACCTGAAAATATGTAAAATGACATGTGTAATCTTAGACCTGTAAAAAGTCAACAGTAAAGGTCCCTTTACTTGTCAATGGCACATCGGGCATTTCATGCTAGATTCATTTTTATTTTAAATAGACTAATCGACCTTCAATGGGTTATGAGGTCAACATCACACCATCCATCTTTATTTCCAGTACTTTACCTGGTACCCATTTGAGGCTGAGTTCAACCTGGGAGCTAAGGTCATGGGGTTATTACGATGTCCGGCCCAAATACGCACTGGTTGTCCTTTTATTCATGCTTGCTCAGGCTAGTATATGTTACAGGGGTATCATGTTGTACTGTCTCTGGTGCTATCACCCACACTGACACGTGTACTATATTACACGACCGCATATCTAGAATTGGCCCTAACCGCAACCCTCCTACCCTACAGCCTCAGCCTATATCCCACGAGAAAGTGCAGCATACAACCCGTATGTTTCAGAACTGTTAACATTTTGTAGTGGGCCCTAAGCTATAATATACACAACCTCGCTGGCCGCTGCTCAACATTGAGTAAAAACACAATTATTTTGACCGCTGCTCACAACAATGAATAACACAATACGCAGAAAGCTTTGCGAAGACAATACAACCTGACGCCCCTGTAACAGAGACTAGCCTGAGCAAGCATGAATGAAAGGTCAACCTGTGTGTATTTGGACCAGACATTGTAAAAAGAACCAGGTCACGTTTTCAGAAAACAAAATGGTTCCATGCCGATTTCAAAATCTTAAACCTGACATCTACTTTTTCAGTTTGCTGCTTTTGCTGCTGCTACTTTGCCTCATCCTTCTATTCTTTTTCATCTTCTTAAATGCTGTCTTTATCAATGTTTTATTTTAATTGTTGTTGTCCTTCTTCTTTTTATTCCATTCTTCTTTCTCTTTTCCTCCCCTTCTGCATCTTCCAATGGATGGTCTAAGATGGTGGCAAGAATAATACAATCAAAAGAACAGATCCTTACTGTGTCGGTTCTGGGGCTCCCTTTTAGAGGGACATTAAAAAAAAAAAGACTAGACAAACTGCCCCCCCCCCCCCCCCCCCGCCCCAAGAATTAAGTCATAAAAGGCAACTAATATCAGAGCCTTGTTGTAAACTACAACACAAGGCACCAACAATCCTTTTAAGGGTAAACACAGAAAATAAGAAGAAGAAGAAGAACCAGGCACTCCCAGTGTGTGGTCTGTGTCATGGCCCCCATAAATATCCCTGTCCCACTAAAAGCATTGCTTCCATTTTGTTCCTGTGAAACTTGTTTAGAACAACGGTAATGATCATAGTTGCTGAAAATGGCAATTAGGTTGGGTTTTGTTGTTTAAAATGGCATCATTTATTGAAATTAGGACACCAGAACTTGGGCAAGAAGGGAGTATAAAAGGAAGGAAAGAGGGTAGGAAGGAAGGAAAGAGGATTTGAAATGAGGAATAAAGGATGGAAGGAAGACAAAAAAGGAGGGAGGGAGGGAAGAAAGAAAGGAAGGAAGGAAGGAAGGAAGGAAGGAAGAAAGAAAGGAAGAAAGAAAGGAAGGAAGAAAGAAAGAAAGATTGAAAGGAAGGAAGGAAGGTAGGAAGGAAGGAAGGAAGGCAGGCAGGCAGGCAGGCAAGCAAGGAAGGCAGGCAGGCAGGCAGGAAGGAAGGAAGGAAGGAAGGAAGGAAGGAAGGAAGGAAGGAAGGAAGGAAGGAAGGAAGGAAGGAAGGAAGGAAGGAAGGAAGGAAGGAAGGAAGGAAGGAAGGAAGGAAGGAAGGAAGGAAGGAAGGAAGGAATGGAGAGAGTAAGGAAAGAAGGAAAGGAGGGAGGGATAGAAGGAGAAAGGAAAGAAAGGAAATCCTAACTGAATATAGAACTTACATTAAACTCTGTGAGCTTCTCCCACCTGGGCACAATGTAGAACTTGATGCCTTCAGCAGCCCCAGGCAGAGTACATCCCCGCACCAGCAGAATCAGTAGGACCAAGTAGGGGAATGGGGCTGCAAAGTGCATCACCTGAAGGTAGAAGGTTCGAAACATTAACCTCTCTGAGATTTTAGTACACAACATAAACCTCAATAAGATTTACAATATGACATAAAGATAACATAAACCTCACAAAAGTTTACCATATAATATGAACCTCACACAAGGCAACTGCACACATAAACTTCACATAGAATTATTGCACACACAAAGTTTACTCAGATTTACTGCACAGCATAAACTTCACCACAGATGTTGGTTGGCACCTCTCTGTCTTTCCAGACGACAGTGTTATATTGCGCTATGAGGAGGAATGGGACTCACTGCCCATGGTGATGGCGAGTATGACTAGCAAGAGTCATCCACGTTAAGAAAAGTCTTCCACAATTATAGCATGGAATTTTAGGACCGTTGTTGTCAACACTTGTGTTTAGTATGCTTTTTCTCACATGCTCAGCTCTCATCCTTTCTGCAGTAATCTTTTCCTTCATTCTCATTCCCTTCTTGATGTGCACTCTCAACACAACTTGATCCATGGCATTTTGTTCCAATGAGTTCACCTCAGTACCTGTATCATTCATGTCTCCAACGCCTGGCACAATTAAACATCAAAGTGAGTTTAGCACCCAACACTCTTTCTTGTTAATCTGCTCATTGTTGTTGCTGCCTTGCGTATCCTGATGTTGATTTCTTGGTCCAGCAATAGATTGTTATTCACTGTGGATCCCAAATAGGACAAATGGGCAACTGTCTCCAGCTCTTCACCATCAATGTAGACAGCAGGTAGACAGAGATGTGCCTCTGACTTTTAAAAAAACACTGATCCTATCTATATTATCCAGGTCCTCGGGTAGGAATTTGTTTATAGGATGGCCAAGGAGAGGGTCTGCTCCTCTGCATCTGAACCCCAATTTTACATAACAGAAAAACTGATGTGTCTCAACCTTGGTGGAGTTGAAGTGTCTGTGAGTTGCAATGAGCCTGAGAGTTATGCTGATGGTAGCTTAGCTACTGGTAGGGCCTCCCATGTCAGACAGGTCAATGGTTAGGAATCAGATGAAGATAGACATACACTTGCTGCTCTGTAGGAAGACTGAGCACTTTCTACTCTGTAGGTAGACTGAGGACACCAACAGACAGGGTCCTCATGTCAGTTTTGGGGCCTTATATTTAGGGGAAATGAACTGACCCATTGTCTCCTAACAAGAATGTCCTACCAGGCAATTATTTAAGTTGCTTGCCAAAACTGGATGTGAGGGCCAAAAGGCACAGACATGGTGGCCTTATTGTAAAGCCCAAAATAATGTGCCAACTGTCCTTTTAGGAGGAGGTGAAGAAAAAGAGAAGGAGAAAGGCTAAGAATAGCAAACCCACAAAATTAATTGTCTAAATCAGACATACTTGGTGACGGCCTTGGCAAATCAGTGCAAAGAAACACACATTGGGCTAATGTTATGATGTCAAAAAATATATTTCTTAGCCTTCATGTGCATTACAGTTATACAGTGTTTGCCTTTATGTGCATTACAGTCATACAGTCTTTGCCTTTATGTGCATTAGTCATACAGTCTTTGCCTTTATGTGCATTACAGTCATACAGTCTTTGCCTATATGTGCATTACAGTCATACAGTCTTTGCCTATATGTGCATTACATTCATAGTCTTAGCCTTTATGTGCATTACAGTCATACAGTCATTGCCTTTATGTGCATTACAGTTATACAGTCTTTGCCTTTATGTGCATTAGTCATACATTCTTTGCCTTTATGTGCATTAGTCATACAGTCTTTGCCTTTATGTGCATTACATTCATACAGTCTTTGCCTTTATGTGCATTACAGTCATACAGTCTTTGCCTTTATGTGCATTAGTCATACAGTCTTTGCCTTTATGTGCATTAGTCATACAGTCTTTGCCTTTATGTGCATTACATTCATACAGTCTTTGCCTTTATGTGCATTACAGTCACACAGTCTTAGCCTGTATGTGCATTACATTCATACAGTCTTTGCCTTTATGTGCATTACAGTCATACAGTCTTTGCCTTTATGTGCATTACAGTCATACAGTCTTTGCCTATATGTGCATTACATTCATACAGTCTTTGCCTTCATGTGCATTACAGTCATACAGTCTTTGCCTTAATGTGCATTACAGTCATACAGTCTTTGCCTTCATGTGCATTACAGTCATACAGTCTTTGCCTTCATGTGCATTACAGTTATACAGTCTTAGCCTTTATGTGCATTACAGTCACACAGTCTTTGCCTTCATGTGCATTACAGTCATACAGTCTTAGCCTTTATGTGCATTACAGTCACACAGTCTTAGCCTTCATGTGCATTACAGTCATACAGTCTTTGCCTATATGTGCATTACAGTTATACAGTCTTTGCCTTCATGTGCATTACAGTCATACAGTCTTTGCCTTCATGTGCATTACAGTCACACAGTCTTAGCCTTTATGTGCATTACAGTCATACAGTCTTTGCCTTCATGTGCATTACAGTCACACAGTCTTAGCCTTTATGTGCATTACAGTCACACAGTCTTTGCCTTCATGTGCATTACAGTCATACAGTCTTTGCCTTCATGTGCATTACAGTCATACAGTCTTTGCCTTCATGTGCATTACAGTCATACAGTCTTAGCCTTTATGTGCATTACAGTCACACAGTCTTAGCCTTCATGTGCATTACAGTCATACAGTCTTTGCCTATATGTGCATTACAGTTATACAGTCTTTGCCTTCATGTGCATTACAGTCATACAGTCTTTGCCTTCATGTGCATTACAGTCACACAGTCTTAGCCTTTATGTGCATTACAGTCATACAGTCTTTGCCTTCATGTGCATTACAGTCACACAGTCTTTGCCTTCATGTGCATTACAGTCATACAGTCTTTGCCTTCATGTGCATTACAGTCATACAGTCTTTGCCTTTATGTGCATTACAGTCACACAGTCTTAGCCTGTATGTGCATTACAGTCATACAGTCTTTGCCTTCATGCGCATTTCAGTCATACAGTCTTTGCCTATATGTGCATTACAGTCACACAGTCTTTGCCTTCATGCGCATTTCAGTCATACAGTCTTTGCCTTTATGTGCATTACAGTCATACAGTCTTTGCCTTCATGTGCAAAACAGTCATACAGTCTTTGCCTATATGTACATTACAGTCATACAGTCTTTGCCTATATGTACATTACAGTCATACAGTCTTTGCCTATATGTACATTACAGTCATACAGTCTTTGCCTTTTATTACAAAAGATCAGTAGCTGCCACCGGACACTGCCAGGGTTTTCTATGCCATCGGTTAGCTCCAGCACATGGCGCCTGCAAAATAAAAACATGCCAAATTAAATATGCCAGGTATTCACAACCTTGTATGCTAAACTTTATGTAACTAAATGGCAAGATTTCCTGTGTCCAATTGTGGGGGAAAACAAGAACAGATCAACTGCCTCCCCAACAAGCATATCCTTGGTGTCGACTAATTCGGGCATCCTTCAAAGTTGGACTGCATATGCCTGAGAGACAATGACCAACAGTCTGCATACAATTAAGCTAGATCTGTAAAACAGATGCACATGCAACATTAAGATTTTAGAACAAGACTTAAGTCCAGAGGTGGACGAACGAGCTGAATATTCTGCCTAATTTTACAGCTTGTGAACGTGAAAAATAAAAAGAAGAAAAAAAAAGAATGAGAAGAAAAGGAAGAAGAAAAAGAAGAATGGTAATATTAAGCAATGTGTTGTATGATGAAGAAGTGTATTGTATTAATTTTGTTTTTGGAGGTTTTCTGTGACTAAGCGGTTAAGCCATTTGCCTCATGCTCTAAAGGTCATGGGTTCATTTTATAGACTGTGTCGTTCAATTCATAAGCCAGTACAAGTTTTAAAGACCAAGCATCCTTGCTGATGCTTTGGAGTTCAGGCTAAGTGTCCTCGACAGGGCGTTAACTGAGCTGCCGACAAAATGTGAACCAAATGAGATCAAACCCGCTGCAATGAAGTCAACACTCCCAAATGTAACTCTTTAAACTTTATTATATTGTAATGTAATATGCTGTATTGTAATGTAATATACTGTATTGTATTATACTGAACTTTATTGTACTTACAATATTGCACTGTATTATACAGTACTGAATTTTATTGTATACAGTATGGTTTAGACTGTATTGCATGAACAATTTTTTGAGGCCTTGTAGTGTTTTATAGCAGAATCCTTAGAATTCCAAAAAGTGTAACCCAGATGTTTTGAAAGAAGTGAGAGCTTGGAGAAAAATTATCACAAACATCAGAAAGAGATAATTGTCATTTTTGGTCACACTATAAAAAGAAGGAAACTAGAACATGTAACCCCTGGAGACATTTGTGAAAAAAAAAAAAAGAAGAAGAGAAAGACAAAATGAGACTGATTCAAGACAGCCCTTTGTCATGGCATGGAGGGGTGTCAACACAAGACCGCTGATTGTGGAGAAGCATGATCACCCACACCAGTTGGCAAGGCACTTGATAATCATGATTCCCATTGTTACTCGACTAATATTTTTTTCAAAACTGTATCATTTCAACTGCTTCATACTTGAACATTTTTAGATTATAATACAAACTGCCTAGGATATAAAGGGATTATGTAACATTTACTTTAGTTTGAAAGAGGTAAAAGTTGATCTGAAATGCTGATGATAACAATATAAAAATAGTTAATAATAACAATAAAAACACAACATCAAACAGTATAAGACTAAACACACATAAACAAATAAATGTTTTGAAATGAACTCACTCCCAGAATTCCACACTCGCAGGAACTGTCTTGTTGCCTCTCACATACACTAATGCAGATGTCTCAGTCATGGAATCAAACCCAGACACTGAATTGTTACTGTCCAAACTTAAATTCCGAACTACAAAATTACTCATGTTGTTCATGGCTGCAGCGATGGCAGTAAAATTTCTCAGCCTCTCATCGTCTATGCATCTGTCCGTGTTCCACTCGTTGTTACAATGAGACCAGGGAAGAACCATCCGGAATGAAAGAAACAAGTAGTAAATTGTCCAGGCAACTATCACGTTGTAGTAGATGCATACAATGGCAGAACATACCAACATGCCCACGCCAACACCTGCAGGATCACAGAAGTATAAATCAAGTCATACAAATAAAGCACGATTTGAAATTAAAATTAGTATTCTAGTTCTTAGTTGTGTTGTGTTTATTTTATGCCATATGATTTTCCTTTATGCTGTATTTTGTTGAATGAATTGTGTTGTATTGCACTGTGATATATTTTTTTTAAATTGTGTGTCAAATTGTATTATTCTGTGTTGCTTAGCATAATGTAATAATCAAAGCTTTGTTTTTTCAATAAAAAAAGGTGCAGGTGCTCACCATAATATAGAAAGACTCTCAGAATATCATGGATAAAGAAGAGGAGAAATACTGATTAATTAAGAGATCTGAACATCAAGGAAAATAGGATAATACACAACATCTTGTCTTGGAAGCTGAAATATTTTGCTAATTTCAACCGCCATGGCAGACTGGAAAAGATAATAGCAGAAAACATGCTACCAGGAAGGAGGGGCAGGGGCTGATCAACACGAAGATCAGCACAAGATTTAAGTGACTATTTGAATATGAAAGAACACAAGACAGGAGAGCTGGTGAGAGACAGAGTTTCTTTCAGGCAGACCGTGATGAGAGCGACGTTCTGCAATGGACGTACTACATGATGACTCAGAATACAGTGACTATTACAGTAGCACTGAAATAATAATGCCTTTTCCATGTGGGTTTTAAGGCCCCATGTGGGGGGGGGGGGGGGGGGATTACAGACCCACTACCCCATAGTAAGCATGTTGTAAAAGGTAATTAATTAGAGTATTTACTTTGAAATCAGACTGCATCTGCCGGAGAGATGAGGAACAGTCTGCATACAGATGAACAAGACTAAAGTTCAGAAGTGGATGAAAAACCATAACTTTCTGCCAGGGTTTATAATGTGCCGGACTGTGCTTTTATTATAAAATAATATTTTACACTGCTCTTTACCATAAAATATTGTGTCACACTTTATGTATGGTAAAATGTTAGGCTTCACTGTATTTTACCATAAAATTATGTGTAGTACTGCACTCTAACACAAAATTGTGTGCAGTACTATACTTTATGGTTAAATGTTATGTTGCACTGCACTGTATTTCATGGCAAAATGTTGTTAATGAGAGTTCTTTCTGGTAAAATGTTATGTTGCACTGTATGTTATGTTAACATGTTGCATTGCCATGCTGCAATGTAATTTATGTTACTGACTGTATTCTGCTATGTTGTTTCAAGTTCTTTATGTTGTTGCATTAGACTGTGTTGTAGTTTGCTGTACTGCTCTATAACGTCTGTATTGCATTGTTCTGTGTTGCACTGTTTAGCACTGAAATACTCTGCTGTGTTGCACTGTTCAGCACTGTAAGGTATTCTGCTGTATTGCTCTATGCTGCACTATTCAGGCCTGTAAGGTACCATACTATTCACCAGGAAGGCTTACCCGGTTAAGGAATGCTTGCAGAAGCTGGATGTGTCAGCCGAAAGGTGCAGGTATCACAGTTTGGCTGTATAACGGGCACGGCATAATTACATCTTCAGATAAATGCAGAAGAAGAAAAAAGTACTATACTGTTCTGCACTGTAAGGTGCTGAATTGTTCTGTGCTGCACTACTCAGCACTTTACTGAACTGTATTGATCTGTGCTGTACCATACAGCACAGTAATGTACTGTATTGTTCTTTGCTGCACTATTCAGCACTGTAAGATACTTTTTTTTATCTGTGCTGTACTACTGAGCACTGTGAGATACTGTATTGTTCTGTGCTGAATATTCAGCACTGTAAGGTACTGTATTGTTCTGTGCTTAATATTCAGGACTACAAGATACTGTATTGTTCTGTGCTGAATTATTCAGCAATGTAAGGTACTGTATTATTCTGTACAGTCCTATTCAGCACTGCAGGATATTTTATTGTACAGAACTATTAAAAAATTAAGATATCCTTTTATATTTTGTACTGCTATATACTACATTGCATTTCACTGTATTACATTACCAAATAAAGAAAAACAGTACCTTTGAATAATGGAGCCACTTTCCATATCGCAATGGGACTTAAACTTGAAAATTGGCCATAGGTCACTTCCAGAAAGAACAAGGGAAGGCCACACAGTAACAAGAACAATGTGTATGGGATGAGGAATGCACCTGAGGGAGGAAACAGACAATAATATATGTGCCAAAGAAAAATGAAATTGTTTTTTTTTTCCTCAGCAATTAAATGTTTTGCTTAAATGACTAACTTTTCAACAACTTTCCTTTTTTTAGTGATCAGCTCTTACCATTCAGCAAATTACTTTTCTCTTTCAGTGATCACATTTTCTCTTGCAGCGTTCAACTTTCTTCCTTTAGTGATAAACTTTTCCCTTTAGCTATCAACTCTTCCCCTTTGGCGGTGGAACTTTTTACTGTACGTCTATTTAACAAATGTCAAAAACATAAAGATACACTTAATATTTTCTTGACAATTTTTCAAGATTTACTTGATGACCACATATTTTATTTCAATTTACTTACTTATTTTTGTTTCACATAATTATATTCTTCTTTTTCGCATTCACCAGCTGTTAACTTCAGCAGAAATTTCTGGTTGTTTGTCCACCTCTGGACCTTAGTCTTACTCCAGAATTTGAGTCATGCATGTACATCCGTTTTACAGATCTAGCTTATCTGTATTGAGACTGTTAGTTCCTTGACTCTCAGACAGATACACTTTGACATGGAAGGAAGCCCTCAGTTAGTCAAGTCTTACAGAATGCTTTTTTTGGGGAGGTGATAGGTCTATTCTGTTTACCACATACTTGGGCCTCAGAATCCATACATGGAACATAAATATATTAATACAGAAATAATTTAATGTAGTTACTTTAGTATAACCTCTCTTTTTTCCTCTCCCCTCAATCCATTTCCTCCCCGCTGTGTGTGTGTGTGTGCATGCATGCAAACATGATTTTATTTCTTATTGTTTGCCAACGGCAGGCCGGAAATAAAGAAAAGGCCGGCCATGCAAGTGATGGACAGAGGGAATAACAGAGTCCCTGAAAATCCCCATTCAGAAAGCGCACACATCAATATACTTTCTTCATCACAACTTTGTTGTTTTTGTTTTTATCACCTCTCCAGGACAGCAACCTGAAGGTTTGTAACCATAGTGACTCAAAGAGCCAAACACTGAATGGCAATCCAACTGAAAGAAATCACATATATGCTGTTTAACAATATATCATGGTTATGTTCGGGTACCCTAAGGCAACACCAAGTATTAATTAAAGTGGGATATCCAGTTGTCAGTTCAATAACTGTTTCATGATGATTCCCACCCAGGTGATATAACTGATTATCGAGGGCTCTGTGTTGAGAGGTAGAAAAGTGCGTGGGGGCTTATTGTGAAGGTTAATGGCCCACCGCCGCCGACACTAAGTGCAACAAAGTCTAACCTATGATACTACATCTGGTTTGAGAATGAAGGTGGAGACAGTGACAGCAGCTTGCCACTGGCTTGAGAGCCAGCTGCATAAACATGCTGCGATTGTAACAGGCTCACAAGGCATGCGGAGACTTGCACACTTTATACAGAGTGGCAAAGCATCACTTCAAAAGTTTTGGGTGGTTAGCATTCAGATACTTTCTTCAGGTTATGCAATACTATTGGAAAATTAACATGCAGACAAATTAGCTGACTCTGCACCAACAGGGGAGGGGAGGGGGTGAATTATGCATGACAAGCTAGATGTGGTAAAGGCCCCAACCCCCGCCCCGCGTGGATTCTTGGGCCCCATTGTGTGTGTGTGTGTGTCAAGAGGAAGAGGGGGATAGACCCTGCACCGTAACATGGATATCGTAAGCATCAATTAATTACAGATGTTTCCTTTGTAGTCGCTGTGCATCTATCTGGGATTGGAGGATTTTTCTGCATTTTGCCAAGAAATATAGTGCAACACAACATTGAACCATAGAGTATCCTGCTGCATGCAAGGGTTGCAGTCCACTGGTTTACCACCTCAAGGGTGAGAATACATTTACATGTACAAATTCCATAAGTTCAACTGTCAGGGTATAATAGCGTCACGGGCTGTTAACCTGGAGTTTGGACCTGGTAGGGCTGTTGTTTGGGAGGCAAGGAACCAACAGTCTGCATACAAATAAGCCAGATCTAAAAAATGGATGTGCTTGCAGAACTCTAGGTTCTGCAGCAAGGCTTAAATCCAGAAATGAATAAACAACCAGCACTTTCAGACGGAGTTTTAAAACCGTAAATGCGAAGAAGATTTACAAAACAAATTCTCTACGGTTTCTTCCTTGAGCAATGTTTCCACCTGCGCCATAACACCGTGGTAGTTTTGTTTCGTGGGAGACCGATTTAACTCTTCTACTATTTAACGCCGCCTTAGCGCAGTCGATAAGAAGCTCGCTTTCAAATCCAGCTGCGACTCGCTGCAGCCCACGGTCGGTGTTCGAAACCGGGCGGTTCCCGGGGTTCACCCAGCCTCTAGGAAATTGGTACCAGAGTGATACTCTGGGGTAAATGGAGGAATGTCGCTGTAGCTACAGAGTTACGTGCGAACCGCGACACAGGCAGACAAATTATATCAGCTGTCCGTACTGGTGGCAGAGCACTTATGGTTTATAACCTGGTTCACATTTCCAGGCTTTTACCTTTACCTTTACCTCCGTATTGTTTACTTTGTATTTTAAACTGGTCCGCCTTTTTAACTCGTCCCAAGGTTCGCAGAAGGGTCAAGGAAAGGTTATGAACAGCCCCGATGCACACAATCCAGGTCAGGTCAGGGTCGCAAACAGGTCACCATCTAGTAGGAATGGTAGCGTACAAGCCTATGAAATTGTGAAGTTGAAAGTTATTAACCCGCTCAGTTATAAACGCCCAGTTTTAAAAGCATTAAGATTTAATGGGGCAAACTGAGATAAGATGGAGCCAGGGGAAGTACATAGAGAGAGCCACGGAAGATCTTAAGGTTAGATACAAGTTCACCTGGAAGGCTAACCCGGTCAACAAATGCCCGCAGAAGTGGGATGTGTTGGCCGAAAGGTGCAAATATCGCAGCCATGCTGTAAACGGACACAACGCAATTACATCTTCGGATGAACGAAGAAGAAGAAGAAGATACAAGTTGGTGAATAGAGTTGGTGAATGGTGTGTGATTTTAAACCCTACTGCAAAAAAAAAAAAAAAATAAAAAAAAAGTAGGGGATCTTAGAATTTTATGGGCGGTCCTAGAATTTTATAAGCGGTTTAATGTGACTTAGCCTCCATGTTTCGTCGTCCTTGGCGGGAGTAACACAACAGGATATACACAGTCAGTTTACAAAAAAAAATTACAAGAACACTAGGACTAAAAGTATTCATACAATTAATGAAAGAACCACATATGAAATCGTTGGTCATTTGACAGAAATGACCTTGCTCCTGCAAACAGCCAGGTTGACTAAGTACCTGCTGCTGCTGCATCTTCTTTTTCTTCATCTTCTTCTTCTTCTTCTTCTTCTTCTTCTTCTTCTTCATCGTCATCATCTCCTTCTTCTTCTTTTTCTTTGCGTTCATCGGCTGTAAACTCTAGCGTAAAGCACTGGTTGTTCGTCCGCTTCTGGGCTTTGGTCTTGTTCCAGAATTGAGTTGTGCATGCACACCCGTTGTACAGATCTGGCTTATCTGGATATAGACTATTCGGCTATAGCCTCTCAGGCAGATGCACCCAAACTTTGAAGGAAACCCCCTCAATATTCGACTTTTACGACATGCTTGTTGGGGGGGGGGGTGTCTATTATTTATTCTACAAAATAATGCATCGGAACCCGCACGGGCTCAGCCTAGCTTATGATGTCAAAAGTAAAAACAGACGGGACCACATCATTCATCCAGCGCCAAATAATCTATTTTAATAAATATAGGTCTTGTTTCATATTCCGGAAGTGACAAATTCGTGAAGGCACTTATCCTCGACGATGAAATCCCAAAAGCGTCAGGATCTCCGACATTAGTTAGTTAGTTAGTTAGTTAGTTAGTCTTTCCTCTTGTGTCGAGTGCGGCACATAGGGCTGAGGTCATGACTCTCCATGCATGGCGGTTCGTTGCAATCTGTTGTAGGTCTTGGATGTTTGAGTGGCCCATGAGCGAGCCTTCCCTGATGATAGTTCTACGTAGGGTTTCCCTTGGTCTTCCACGAGATCTTTTCCCCTGTGGTGTCCAAATGAGGGCTTGGTAAGGAAGTCTTGATTTATCCATTCTAAGTGCGTGGCCGACATAGTTCCAGCGGCGTTTTCGTATAAAATTAGACACATACTCTTGACTGGATTCTTGCCTTATTTGTGTATTGGTTCGGAAATCTGACCATTTGAAATTTAGTATTCTTCTAAGGCATTTATTTTCAAAACAGTCTAATTTTGTGTCTAGAGTTTTCGTTGATTTCCAGCTCTCGCATCCATAGGTTAGTACTGGAATCACACAAGAATTGAAGATCTTGAGTTTTGTGTTTGCTAAGTGTCTTTGATTTCCAGATGTTGGACAGTTTATTGAAGGCACTAGATGCCAGTGCTATTCTAAATGGTATTTCTGGTGCGGTATCTCCTGTAGATGACATCTTGCTCCCTAGATAAGTTTAACTGTTGACTTTTTCAAGGCTCTTGTTGTTCAGCGTGATATCAACTGAACTGTTGGTAAGGTCTAGAATTTTTGTTTTTGCGGTGTTAATTTGGAGTCCAATTTGTTCTGAGAAATTCTGGAGTCGATTGATTTTTTCTTGGGCGTCTGTGTGTTCTGAACTCAGGAGTGCTATACCTCCTTTTATTTAGGGAACATGATAAGTAAATGTTGTAAGTAGAACAGAATACCATGAACCAAGAAGAATAAAAACATCTACATCCTTTCATAATCTCAGCATCGAGGAGAATTGTTGTACTGTTTGTTAGTCGATGTTCATTTCACACCTTAACACTCTTGTACTACTGGACTTTTTCGGGAACTCCCGATGAAATCGCGGAGTTCCCCAAATAGGGTGACATGAAACAAAAATTATTATAATAATAATTAAAATAATTAAAATAATAATGTGCCGGGTGGCAAATAAATACATTTTTTGAAGTCATCGGAAATGTATAAACAAACCCTTAAAAACGGAACTATACACGGTTGA